AATCGGGTTCCAAATTAAATCAGCTAACTTATGTCATATTTGTATTTAATTAATATAAATATTTAATATATTAATTTAAGAAAATAAGAAAAAACAAAACATAAATTAAATAAAACTTACTGCTAGCTTTTAGTCTGATAAACTTTTAGTTTCTAACCTTATACTAACATACTGCTAGCTTTATGTTTTGTTTTCTAAACTTATTCTATACTGCCAATTACATACTGCATAAGCTAGTTTTCTTTAGGAAACATATTATGCTGCTAGTTTACTTTAGGATACATATTATGCTGCTAGTTTGCGTTTTGTTTTTCTAAACTTCATTTCAAGAATATGCATACTTCTAGTTTTTAGTTTATAAACTAAACTGCTAATACATTTTGTTTTACAAGCAGCATCCAAGTCCTTGATAATAGGATGTTCAGGGTTGATCTCAAACACCCTTCTGCTTCTCATGAATTCCAAGCTAGTGGTATCACCCATAGTTTGTTTTTGTTTCTTCTAAACAATACTGCAAGTTTTTAGTAAACTTAATTTAATTAATATAAATTAATTCTTCTAATTTAATTTCTATTAACATAACAATAATCTCACAACACTAACACCTAAATTAACTCTCCTAATTTATCTCAACAAGTCTCAAGAATCCTAACCTCAATTTTATCCCAAATCAAAATATACCAAATCAAACCCTAACTATAAGCTGTGCATCGAATCCTAACCTCCCATCTGCTGTGCATCGACAGCGGCTCTTGCAAGTGTTCGGGGGCGTAGAAGTCCTAGGTTCTGGTGACAGAGAATGCAGTTTGGATGGGAACCGACTCGTCAGATGGTCGGGAATCCTCCTTCGTTTCTCTTGTCTCACGGGCGTCGTGACGAGGAGCATCGTTTCGCCGGTATTGGGCGAGCCTCCCCCCTTTTATGAGGGTCTTGATGGCGTCCTTGAGGTGAACGCAATCTTCAGTCAGATGGCCATGGCTCCTATGGTACTGACAGTATTTGCTCCTATCCACCCCGGGCTTGGCAGGATTTGGTCGGGGGCGCTTGACGCCCCATCTTTGAAATCTGTATTGGCACACTCCGCCAAGATGCGCTCGCGGGAAGCTGTGAGCGGAGTGTACTCTCTGAAACGCCTCGAGGGCCCCCTCTGTTCTCGGACGTCCCGGGGTTTTCCGTCCTTCCTTTTTTCCCCAGTTCGTCGAGGAGGGATGGCTTCCTGGCGCGGGTTATTACTGGATCCGCGAGTTCTGGGGTCACGGGCTCTGTTGGCTGCTTCCCTTTCCTCGTAATCCATGTAGGCCCTAGCCTTCTCGAGGAGAGCATTGAACGTTCGGGGTGGTTCGATGCCCACAACCTTCCTGAATTCTGTGCCGGGGAGGAGCCCCCTCTCCAGCAGGTATCTTTTCATGTGGTCCGCGCAGGGGACCTGGATGGCTTCACGGTTGAAACGGTTGATGAATTCTCTCAAGGTCTCATCCTGCCTCTGGACGATGGCCTCGAGTGCTGCTTCGGTCTTTGGATGTCGCCGTGACGCGGCGAACGAGCTTATGAATTAGTTTTTCAAGTCTCGCCACGAGGTGATTGACCCCGGGGCAAGACCCTTGTACCAATCCGTTGCCGCTTTCCTGAGGGTTGTGGGGAACAACCGACATTTGATGGGTCCCCCGACGTTATGGTAGTGCAACATAGCCTCGAACCCGTCTATGTGATCGATCAGGTCGGTGACTCCATTATATTCTTTCAGATGTGGAGATTTATCCATGCCCGGGGAATGGGCGCCTCCATGATGGCTTGCGATAGGGGACCGCGGGGGTCATCCTCATCACTTCGCTTCGGGGAGAGGGACAGGGACCTGAGGTATTGTCGGACACGACGACCCTGATTGTGCTGGGCGTTCCTCGAGCGGTGCGTCCATTGACACGTCCCTCCGTGCCCATCTCCAGGATGCCTTCGTTCTTTCCGTGAAAGGCCGTGGTCGCTCCCTATGGCTTCAATGATTGGCTCTCTCTCCAAGGCGGGTCGCCTCCCCGGTGGTCGGGGCGACGGGCTTCGGGAGATGCCTCTGTCTTGTCTCCGCGGGGGAGATCAGAGACGTTCTTCCATTATTCGAGGGGGTAGGGATTGAGGCCTCATGTGTCTCCTCGGGGGCCTTCTATCCTCCTCTAGTGTTCTCAGTCTTTCCCCTTGGGAAAAGATGAGGTAGTTGGTCTAGTTGATTGCCGCGAACAGTTCCTTGGTCGTGGCGTCTGCCCCGGTGGGGACAGGAACTTCATGGAATTGAGCGGCTTGATGGTTCAGGGGAACCAAATTATCTTCTTCGATTTGAAGGGGGACTGATGAAGACGAAGCCGTGGCTCTATCCCGGTAGTTGGAGATTTCGGGGATGTTGCCACCGGGGGAAGTAACATGGGTTGTGACGCCGACGTTATTATCGGCGAGGTTATTACAGGCTTCGACGACACGAGCATTCTGATTGTCTTGAATCTGGTCAGCCATGATGGTGGAAGATGGTTTTAGCTTTTGGTCTTTGAAGGTTTGTAAGACGGGGAAGCTTAGTGCCTACAGATGGCGCCATTGATCTTACCTGATCAGGGTTGGACCGTAACAGCTGGCACGAACTGGATTTGAATGAGATGGGGGGAGGGGGTACCTGCAAGACACTTTGATGATAAAATGAGACACAGAATGGGCGTGAAAATAGTATGTAGGTGCGTAACAATTGAATACCTGACCCTCTTGAAATAGAGGGTATTTATAGCCCCCAACACTGGGCCAATGTCCCTTTATTGGGCCGACCAAAGCTGGCCCAACAAATGGGACTACCAGGTTCTACGTGTGTAGTAGGGACCCGCACGTGGTCCCCTTCCTGGATGATGCTCCACGAAGAATGAGGAAGAACGAAGACGCGGTATTCCCAGAGCTCTAAGGATTCCGCAGCATCCGGAGGGGACTGAGTCTGCCCTACAGGGAGGATGCTCGAGCAAGGCTTGGGTGGGAGCACCCTCGGTCGGGGACGCTGCTCGTTACGGGTAGCGGCGAGCATAACCGTTGTGGCCTGTGACTGGGTATGCTCGGGGCGGTCTGATTCCAAGCATAGCTCGAGGAACTGCTTAGATTTGGGCCTTTATTTGTGTTTTGGGCCAAGGCAGGCCCAATCCAGAACACTTTTAGTCTTAGAATATTTACTAATTTTTACATAATTTCTAATTTTGATTAACTTGAATGTCACTTACCTTGTGTATAATATCAAATTTATTTTTATAATTAAATTAATTGAAACATTATATAAATAATAGGATATCCATCTTCGAGTAATAAAATCAGTCAATACGTTGTATATCGGTTTATTATTCAAAATCAAACAATTAAAATCCATGCAACTCACCAAATTCACCATCCGCAAGCGACACGTAGCCAATGTCTGGCCACGTGATGAGGATACTATATAATACTTCCTCCGCTATGTGTCATACCACATACTTTAATCAAATTGAAACTCAAAACATCTAACCAACAACATTAAATCATTTTCTACTAACATAATCAAAATCAAGATATTTTCGAAAAAGGATTAAATAGAATTACTTTCAAAATTAACTGCGAATTGCGTCTACGATCACTCTTTTATAAAACTCATACAAGGTTCAAGGATAAAATTGAAATCAATTCTATGCAATCCTATAAAAAATACCAAGAAACACTGTGAACTACGAATTAGGACTCTGATTCCTCCTAAGAGGATATGTAGGCATACGACTAAAATCATGGTGAGTTCCTCTAATAAAAACTAAAACCCTATTTCTTAAAGATTGTATTTCTAAACCCTAGTATCCTTGTGAACAAGGTAGATGAGGGGTGCCTAACACCTTCCCTTCGTCTAAGAACGAGTCCAACAACTAAGAATCTCTGACCAAATTAGGGTTATCCTTTATATTCCCTTCTTAAAGATAAAAGTTAAGGGTGATGACTCTCAATTTAAAACCAGTTACAACACAAGTGACGATTTACAACACTGAGAAACATATTTGGCGTGTATTTGAAGCCATTGGAGGTCAGTTCTTCAAAGGATATCATATGCAAACCTCTTACTATTAATTAGTATTCTAAATTATTAATTATTAGTAGATAAATATCTCTAGGTTTGTTTTTGTATGATGAACCTATTTTAATACTATCGGGATATATGTTTGATATGTTATTGCATGAATAATTTGAGTTATAATTCTATTCAATTTATTTTTGTTCATAATGCTTTTTATGTGAGATACTCTTTTAATATGAATTTGGTCACATAGGAAATACTGACCATTAGTTTATGTGTAGGATCTAGAGCAATTGTCATACTTACGCTGCTTGAATTGGGAAAAGATACCTCGAGTAGTGGCTTATGAATTAACATACTATTGCATCACCTAATCTCACCTACATAAGTTGACTAGGGATACAATACTTCTATAAAATATTAGTGAGTTATACACCAAGGGATTGTTTATTATGGTTTTTATAGTTTGTCGTGGAATTATAGCAACAATATCATTCATGTAATATATCGAACATCAACGGTAGAGAAATAGGGGATTCAATACAAAAATTGACTACTCTTTTATTATTAATAGAATAACTTTATTTTATTTTTATAATCAAAACTTGAAACCCCCCATTAGTTAATTTATTAACATTGCACAACATTGTATGGTTAGATAACAGTCTTTCTGGATACGATATTTGTTTATTACTTCATATCTTTACATTTGCCGAGAAGTCATCACAATCTTAGTGAACCTAAACCTAATGTTGATGAATTGTTGTTACAATTTGAGTCTGAAGAAAATGATCGTCTACACTCTCTTAAACAATTTTACAAAAATTGTGTCAACCTTGCTGAGAGTGATGCAATTTAGACTGACTTCAGAAGATGGATCAATTCTCGTTCCTGGCAACTGAGAGAAATTTTCTTAGAAAGTGCTCCAAAATAATACCATGGAAAACTCTCTAGCATCATGGAGCATCTTCTAGAGTTGTTTAAACCAAAATTTCTTCCTACACCAGAAGCTGATCCGACATTAGTTGTTTTTGAGAAAGAGATTCAGCCTGAAGTTAATCATCCTCCTGAACAACAAGTCGTTTCTCAATCTGAGACTGGAACAACTTCTAGAGCTGATAAGCCTTCTGAATATGACTCCATGCCTTTGGTAGTGTTGAAGACTCTAGAAGAACTCATGCAAGAGAATAAAGCCATTAGAAATCATTTAGAAAATAAAGATGAGATGTTTAAGGAATAAGCTCAGACCAACTGATAGGAAAAATAACAAGTGTACTATTTTTGCCTTGCAGTAATAATGGGAAATTCCCAAGATATTGATCTCAAGGACTGCATACAATTATTGAGTTAAATTCGTAGTTCAATTAAACAAAAACTTAATTTGGGGTTTTGGTTTTGATATTGTTACTTAACAAAAAGCAGAAATATAAAATGACTTTTTTCACAGATATGAGGAGCATGCTAGGGTAAGGTGTAAAATTTATCCTGTAACTATCTTAAATCCTAATATCTTCAACATGTTCATATCCTTAAATTACCAACTCTTTAGATTATCTCCCCCTAAGTTTTTAGTGGGAAAACCTTTAACCATCCATCCTAAATCCTAAGTCCTTAGAGATATCTGATGGAGTCAAGCCTTTATTTTATCAAGGGTTAAATCCGGTAACTATAGGGTATCCCTAGTCCTTGGTGATATCTACTATAGTCTAATTATACAAAACCTTAACAATCGCGGTCCAGTTGGTTGTTAACCGTAAATCAATCCTAATTTGTTCGATCAGGAAGGCATAAAAACATTGTACAATTAAATCGAACAGAGAAGACTATATTAAATAACTTAGGAATTCATAATCATTACAGATTCAAATCGAGGAAACCCCCTAGCATTGGGGGCTTAGCTACTCATATTATTCAAAAGAATTTCAATGATATAAAGATTAAACATTACAAATAAATGATGAACTTTGATCTTCAATCGCTGCGGCTCATGAAAAATCTCCATCCTCCAAGAATCTCATATGCTGCTCTCTCCAATCCTCAATTCTTCGTGCGGAAAAAAGTCCCCTAATTTCTCTTTAAAACTTGGATAAATAGTGAACAATCCATTTGTCTCAGTCGGAAATTCCCAAAACGCCCCTCTGGGTCCCAAATAGTGAGAAATCATGAAAGCACTCAAAACTAGTGTCATTGGCGGGCACGACCCATGTCAGGCGACACAGTCGCCCGTGTTGGCTATCAGGAATTTTTTGCTCCAAGTATGATGACACGGCCCGTGTCAGGCGACACTGACGCCTGTATCAGCCCCTGTTTTCCACGCTTTCAAAGTCTTTCCCCTAACGCGGTCGGTGTCAGGGCTCCTGTAGCATTTCCTCCGAAACTTTGAATTAAGCACTTTTGTGCCCCGATTTGTCCTGTTTTATTCTTTTGAACCTAAAAAACACTAAAACACAAAACCAAAGAATTATATGCAATAAAACAAAATAAAAACTCGATAAGTAAAAGAAATGATAACTAAAATAACTGCTAAATATCTGTGTAAAAACCACTGGTCAAACTCCCCAAACTTAAATCGTTGCTTGACCTCAAGCGAACATTACAAGAACTCATGAAAATCACAGCAGACCGGTACTCATACGTGAGACATCCGTTCAAATTGATCAAAAGGTAGTCCGTCTGGAATTCACATGAGCCGAAGAGTTTTAGTAAGAACCTTTCAATCTCAAGCTTTCTCTTCGGATACCTCTCTAACTATGCTTTGTACTTAGGTCTCTTTTTGATTTTTCTCCTCATTCATTCAGACACTCAAATTAAGGCAATGAGAATAATGATAATCATCACATGCACAATATTAATCAATATTTCGTGTTGTTTCGACACCAAATGAGCAGCATTCGCTACTTTTAATTATCGATGAAAATTTCAAACTTTGCAGTTATATATTGTCCTTTTTGGACGACATTTGGGGATCAACTCCCTTTGGACTAAATAACCTGGTGAAGGTTACCTAACTTAGCGAGCCAGTTTCCTTTTACATCCTTTTAATCATTTGGTGCCAACTTTATTTATTTCTCAACTAGTCCTACCTGCATGTGAATCAAGATTGTGCCAGACTGTATAAACAAACTACTCGAGGAGTACTTCTCGGAATTTAAGTACCATGGTACAAATCTACACGTTAGATTTGTATTCCTGTCATGTTATTCTGAACTACCTCAAGTTGTACCCCAATTTTTCCCCTAAGATCCCTTCATCATACCATATTAATTCAATCACAACAAGATCACATTAGGGCTTTTGGTTCTCCTCCTTATCTTTACCTTTTCTCTTGGAGGAATCACCAAGCACCCTGACTTGTTTTTTCTTTTATGATCATGCATATTTTGTTTTGATTTTCCTTTTAATTAATAAAATGCAATGTTGGTTTGTCTTACTTGTTAATAATGTAGGTAAAGGCAATGTGGCTTAGCAAGTTGATCCATGGGTTCATGAGTTTATTTCCATTCCATAGTCAATAAAGCTTGAGAAATTCAAACCTCACTATTGAAGTTGTTTTGGAAGAAATGGCATGGCAAGATTTATTTTGGTTCACCATATTTCAAAGATTATCAAGATTGGTTCAAAAGTACAAGGGGTTGGTTGAAGAAGTTGTCATGGTGGGACAAGGCCTTGATCCCATTGGTCAAAAGTGCATATTTCTCTCAATTCTCAAGATATGGAAGTGGTTTTGGTTGCTATGAGTTCTCATTATCATCCTCAACAACTTCTATCTACAAAGCAAAAGTGTTGGTACAAGAAGGTTGTTTAAAATTTCCAAAGTTTCTCAAAGCATTTTCTTGATCTAGGAGCTAGGGTTTTGAACTTCAGAGAAGTATATCTTACTCATCTTTTGGTATTTTTGAGTGAATCCAAAAACATCCTTCTATGAAAAGGGTTATTAACAAATCACTTCAAAAGTTTCAAGGATTTTTCATTTGGAAGAAACTTGATGATGAAGAAAGATTACAAGTCCTTCAGATGAACCCCCAACTTCCCATGTGTGACTTCAAATGATCATAACTTGGTAAATTTTTATCACCTTGAGTCCACTCTTTTTCCATAATGATCTTGAGGATGTTAACTTTATTCCTTTTTTATGTGCAAAGTGAGAAAATGTATGGAAGATGCCCTAAGGATACAAAAGATTATAGGTCATTTCATGATTTTTTGCCAACTTCAACAATTCATAACTCTCTCAATTTTTGGATATTTTGAATGGTTCAAGTTTCAAAATGTAATTCAAGAGGTCTATTTAATGCCACCTTTTCTGGTTAAGAGAAAATTTCAAGTGGAAGACCATGTTTGGATACAAAACATTACAAGTCATTTTTGAAGAAAAACTTAGAAATTTTCTAAGTATGAAAAGTCAACCCTTTTCTTCCAACTTTGACTCAACACAACTTCTTGCTCAAACATCCAATTGATGTCACCCCTTGCACATTGTAAAGCTTGTGACTTTATCTTTAAAATGCTTTAAAAATCACATCATATGGTGCCCTACATTGTTGGCACCATGGTTATGAAATTAGCATCATAAAATGGAAATTCCAAGTTCAGTCAGATTTGAAAATTAGTTTAAATCCAATTACAAGCCTGTTTAAGGATCAATTTCGCATCTAATCGTGTTTAGGAACATTACATAACAAGAAACGACCCTTACACCATTCATTTTGCTGCATTTTGAGTCATGTGAAGTCACACTTTTCCCACTTAGCAGGTCCACATGATTTCACTGATTTTACCTCCAATTCACATGCTTGTGCCTTGCATCATGATCAACTGTAAATAAGGATCATTCCTCACTCATTTTCGCAAGCTTTTGATAGCCAATTGACCCCTGTTCAGATCCTACACGAACTCTGAATTTGAAATGTTGATTTCTTACATTCTCAGCTTCAAACACCAAAAGCTCCATTCAGTTAGCTTCATTGAACTTCTCTGAAGCTAACCATACGGTTACTTTCAAGAATTGTGACCTATATTGATCTGTAGAAGTCCAGTTTCAGAGCAACTTCTCACTACTTTGCTCATGTAGATTTCTGGCTAAATTGATTAAAATAAAAGACTAATCCACTCCTTGTATTCTTCTGATCCTCGTGCTCTTTATAATTTGCAATTTCATTGAGAATTGAGTGAGATATCCCATATTTTTGTGCTCGCTATTTTTTATGGTTTTCTTCAAAGACTGCCTTGCACAATTTATATAAATTCTGCGCGATGGTACCATTAGAATCGTCTTGAAGAGACAAATCTAATGGTACCGGCCTGGTTTGCAAATTTTACAGTTTGAAGGATTCAATTTGGGGATGGCTGGATGTTAAAGACGATGACATGTCCGTCTTCAACCAATGACATGAAGCCACATTATTTTTTTGAAACGGATATAATATGTTTGCCTTACCATCCGCATGCCTCAGGAGCCCTTGGATCTGATTATTTTTGTGAGTTATACTCCATCCAACGCGCCACATTTTAAGTTGTTTTATTTTAAAAATGTTGGATCCGATGTGATATTTATTAAAGACCATGATATGCACAGCGCGTCTGATCCATTACATTAGCTTACTAACGTGTTTTGACTATCATCCATTGGTCCACATTTTTTTTTACTTTGTTTTATTTTCTGATTTTTATATTTAAATTGTTTTAAACTTCAAAAAATCATAAAAAATTCATTTTAAGTCCAAAAAATCTGAAAAATTTATGAAAAATATTATTGATTTTTCTCTTTCTGATTTTTATTTTTTTACAATTTTATTTTGTGTTTTGATATTTTTTATAAATTTTCACTTTATTTGAATTGTTTAAATATTTAAAAATACTTTTATGCATTTTTAAATTCTAAAAAAACATGGAATGATCCAATGATATTATGAAAAATATTAGTGACCTCAATTATTTTTTATTTCTAACTTTGTTATTTTTTCAAATCATTTTTGGTTTATTTTACTCATTTCTTTTAATTTTAAAAAATAGTTTCAGACTTTAAAAAATTACCAAAAATTTTATAAAAATATTTGAGTCCATTTCTGATTTTTCTATGGCCTTATTTCTTTTTTATGAATCAATCTGAATATAGTTGATATTTTTTTCCTTAATTTTCATTTTTTTTTCATTTTTAAACCCTTTTCAACATATATATTAAATGTAATATTATTTTGTGATTTTTTTCTGGCTGATCTTGGGTTGAATTTCTGATCATGA